TCTCAATTGATATAATTTATTTACAACAATTAATAAATTTATCTTATTATTTTTCACGTAAGAAAGTATTCTTACAAAATAAAATTTTCATTATAAAAAAATAATTTTAATTTTACTATACTTTTTTGTTTATATTACTATTTTTAGTATATTATATTATATTATAATATATTTTGATAATAATTATTTACTAATTTAATATATTAATTATATTTTTAATAGTTCTTTAAATACATATAATTATACATTACAAATTTTGTATAATTAAATATTTTTTATAATTTTATAGAATTATTTTTTCAAAAATGAAATTTTTTGGTGATTGATTTTGTGCTTGATATTTATTAGTAATTTTATAATTAAAATATATATAAAAATATTTGGTTTTATAATTTTTACATATTTTTCAAATTGTACTAAATATAGTACAAAAATCTAATTTAATCCATTAATTATAAAAAATTTTTGCAAATATTTTACAATCAAAAGTATTTCATGAAATAAAATCTAAAAAATCTACAAAAAGTATATATTAAAATAAATTCTTAGCTTTATTTTGATATAAAAACAAAAATATTTATTAATTAAAATAAAAATTTTAACTTTTACTAGATTTTATTATCAAAATTTTTATATACATGATGATTTATAATAGATCAGTATATTTAAATAAGTTAGTAATATACTAATTTTCACAAAATATTTTAATAAAAAAGTTTTGAACTATAAATAATGGTGAATCAAAATATATATAAATTTATATCATTTTAGTAAACTAAGATATTTCTCTTTGTAAAAAATTTTATTCTTAATTTAATCTCAAAACTATTTTTTAGAAATATTAATTTTTGAAAAAATTATATTGTGATATCTATTTTTCAAAGATTTTTATATTTTTGATGTGTACTTGTGTCACTCACCATATAATTCTATAAAATTTATTATTTTACTGATTTTTATTTATTGACTGAAAGAGATGAGTCTTTAAATATTAATATAATACATATAAAAAAATAGTTATAAATCTTTATCGTTATGAAAATGAACATTTTTTATTATCGTTGGAGGCGTGTCATTTATTAGGTGATTTGTTAGTATGTAGATGGATGGGTCAGTCAAATTATCAGGTTCATTTTTGATCCACATATTATAGATACATTAGGTATGGGTGTGGGTAGTGCTCTATATTAAAAAAAAATCACATGATAAATGGCACGTCCTTATCGTTAAAAGTTTTAGTAGATCACAATTTTATTAAACTTGAGATGAAATATCTTTATCTTAAATATTTTTATAAAGTCTGTTTCTAATATAGAAACAATTGGTATCAGATTCAATTTGAGGTGCTAAAATTTTTTCATAAAATTTCTTATAATGTATCGCACTTTCAAATAAAAAATTTATTCAATTTAAAAATATTTTCACAGGCATAAAGACTTTCTGAGTTTTAACATCTTTACTTCAACGGATGTAAGATATAGGAAAGACGGGTGATTGCATGTATTATGGGTATAAAATTTCGCGTTGCCACACGCTAAAAAAGATATAAGAAAGATTTATATACGATTCCTAGATTAACAATTCCATGCAATATATATACATGTATTGCAATATAAAATTTCTACAATTCTAGCTTGAAGTTTGCTCTAGCAGAAGAACCCGTTGTGAGGTTTCGTGCGATAGCACGCGTTTCCATTTTACCGAAAGTCAAAGTAAATTCGACCGGGCGATTGGTACCAAGATTAACGTCAGGTAAATCCTGGTAGCGGTCGAAATAAATAAGTAAATTTTATAAAAAGCATTTAGATTCAAATAAACAAACTTACCAATTCAAGTTTTCCAAATAGCTTCATTCCTGGCTCGTCGCAGTTGTTTCCATCTTCCGCGTTAGTAGTGTAAATTTCGAATATCGACGTTTCTTGAGTCGGATGCGATGGCCAGGATGTGTTTTTGAATTCTTGATCCACATTAACCTCGGTACCTTTTTTAGCCAATCGCTTGAAGAATAAAATCTTTTCTTTTGAATTGATTATTTTCTTTTGATCGAGCGGATCATTGTGAGTCCAATCGCGATAAAGCTCAATTCCATACGTTTTTTTGAGAACACGTGTTTTAATTATATCCATTCTCAAACCTAAGATAAAAAAGAAATATTTAATATTTCTTGAATAATATGCATTATGTTATGACATAAATAATCAATGACCATAAATGGCAGCCCCCTTTACAACACTAGCAACTGGATAAGATGGAACCGCAATATACGGAACTTGGCGACTAAATTCCTGTCGAACACGATGCAACAAGTATTTGGATTCGGAAAAGCCGCCGACCATAAATATCGCAGAAATATCCCTTCCCGAATCTGTCAATTGCTGGCGAATCAGTAAAAGAATTTTCGCGATGACTTGATCGAAGAAATGTTTAATCGTCTCGAAATCTAATTCGATAAGCCATTCCGACTCTTCTAACGCCGCCCTTTCTTCACCATTAACGTATTGCAACATAATGGGACAGACGCTTTCAAGATCAAGTTCCTTACTCCTCCAGGTTTCTTCGTTCCCATCAAATAGAATCTTTACATTCGTGCAGAAATGTTGGATCAAGTATTGGAGTTCGGGATAGTGTTTCTTTTCTATCAACTGAAGGGTGGATTTTCCAATTTTACGAGCAAGAAATTTTTTGAATTCCTTATCAATATATGCTGAGCCGCAAAATTCACCGGTACTTTCTGTGAGTTCGCTTAATTTTGTATTTGGAAGAAGAGTACGAACTGTCAAATCGACAGTACCACCGCCACAGTCTACTATCATAAAAGATTCTGTGCAGTGCAAATTATAAATTTTTGTTAAAACCTTTAAATGGGCAATACATTCTATGATGAATTATTATTTTACCTCCAACTTTTAATGGATGTTCGTTTAAGTTTTCAAGACAGTAGATCGCAGCAGCCTCGGCTATTAAACAGAAAATAACAATTTTATATTGAATACATCAGTTTTTACGTTAGATTATTCCCAAACTTACGTTCAGTTGTGAATTCTAGATTTTCTGATTCCAATGTGAGTATTAAGCCCGCATCAAAAGCGCATTGACGCATAATCGCGCGAATTTTTTCATCATATTCGACGGGCACGGTAAGAACAATGCGGACATGTTTATGAAAAATTAGACCTGGCCATCTTGCGGACACTTTGTTTTTTATTAACTTGTTATTTACAAAAATGGTCAGATGCTTTTTAGATTCACATACAATATTAAGTTCGATAGATGTAAATTTTTACAATTCAATACCTTTCCGATTTCTCGCAAATAATCAGTGACTGCTTTTTTAGGATCCAAACCTGTTGGTAATGGCGGTCTATCCCCTTCCGCAACTTTACCAAGATGGAGCTTGAATAGTTCTGCAACTTTTGAAGAGTTATTGGACTGCGCACTTCTCCTTCTTGAGGATTTTTCGGCTAAAGCAGGAAATCCCCATTTAACCAGTTCAAGATCATTATCATATCTGATCACAGTATTAGTTTTAAATTCCCCTTTCCTCTCGGGCCTTTTTTGTCAAAATCATTTAAGAACATTTGTCGTATAAAGCAACATTTTGTTTAGACAAACATACCAATCATCATTTGCCTCGATTTTGGAAGGATTCGCCACGTTAGCGTATGAAAATCCTAAATTTGTTTATATTCGTTCTTTTTAGCATTCTCTCTTTCGGTAAATCCTGTTTATTACATACCTGAATACGTTGTCCCGAAATCTTTACGTGAAATCAAAAAGATTGTATTCAATTAATGTTGCGCAATGTTATAAAATGTATGCTATTCTCATTACATTCTCATATATTGAACTTACCGATTCCAACTACCACGCGAATGTTATTGCAAGAAGTTGTCATCTTTGAAGATTACAGTGCAAGTTTTGATTGGTATCTTTTGTTCCTTTAAATAGATTACAATCTTTCTGAATTTAACTTTTGTTCGATTATTTAGACAAAATAGAAATAGTAATCGCATTTTCCCCCAAGTTAATCCCCATGAGCTTCCAAGAATAAAGTTCTCACGCGTTATCAAGAATATAATGATTCGAAATTTTGAGTAATAATGGCATATTATTTATGTAACGGTAACAAACATTTTTGTCCCAATTCGATTCACATGATTCACACGAGCTTACATGTAAATAATGGCATAAATTAATTAATGGATTAATTTAATCAAGTAAAAACGCATCGCAATATTTTTAAGTTTTGAATTTCGTGACCCAACAAGCCTAACAATGCATTTACTAATTTTCACCCGAAGTTTCTATTGGTCAGAGGAGATCCCAATCTCCGATTGGACGAAATTGGTGGTG